GTGGTTGAATTGACAACTCAGCTACTAATACCTTCAAATATTCTTTGGCTCCCCTTGTGTGGAATCTATAATTCAGGTTGAATACTATACCCTGAAAACTATTGCGATCCCCTATACTTGTGGATTATCAAGGGGGCCCACCAGGAGGGCACAACCTACCTGGGCACGCCAGGGAGCCCAGGCATGCCCTGGTGGGTTGTGCTCACCCAGGCCCACCTCTGGTGCCCATCTTCTCGTATATAGGTCATTTTGACCTAGAAAAAATAAGGAGAGGACTTTCGGGACGGAGCGCCGCTGTCTCAAGGCGGAACTTGGGCAGGAGCATGTTGCCCTCCGGCGGAGCGATTCTGCCGGGGGAACTTCCCTCTCGGAGGGGGAAATCATCGTCATCATCATCACCAACAACTCTCCCATCTTGGGGAGGGCAATCTCCATCAACATCTTCAACAACACCATCTCATCTCAAACCCTAGTTCATCTCTTGTGTTCAATCTTGTTACCGGAGCTATAGATTGGTGCTTGTGGGTGACTAGTAGTGTTGATTACATCTTGTAGTTGATTACTATATGGTTAATTTGGTGGAAGATTATATGTTCAGATCCATTATGCTATTTAATACCCCTCTGATCTTGAGCATAATTATCATTTGCGAGTAGTTACTTTTGTTCTTGAGGTCATGGGAAAAATCATGTTGCAACTAATCATGTGAACTTGATATGTGTTCGATATTTTGATAGTATGTATGTTGTGATTCCCATAGTGGTGTCATGTGAACGTCGACTACATGACACTTCACCATATTTGTGCCTAAGGGAATGCATTGTGGAGTAACAATTAGATGATGGGTTGCGAGAGTGACAGAAGCTTAAACCCCAGTTTATGCACAATTCCATAAGGGACCGATTGGATCCAAAAGTTTAATGCTATGGTTAGAATTTATTCTTAATACTTTTCTCGTAGTTGCGGATGCTTGCGGGAGGGTTAACCATAAGTATGAGGTTTGTTCAAGTAAGAACATCACCTAATGTAACACCCATGATGCGGCTATATCTCCCACGTGTCGGAGCACGACTTAAAGGCATAACCGCATTGTAGGCATGTCACAAGAGGGGTAATCTTTACACATCCCATGTACCGAATAAGAAAGAGGTACAGAGTTGGCTTACAATCGCCACTTCACACAATACATGAATATCACATTACATCAACCAGATAAAACAAGGTCCGACTACGGAACCGAAATAAAAAAGACTACCCCTAAAGCAAAAGATCCCCGATCGCCCCAACTGGGCACCACTACTGATCAATTGGAAACGAAACAACTCAACACACACGATCTTCATCAAGCTCCTCCTTGAGCTCGGTTGTGTCACCTGCACGGTATCATCGGCACCTACAAACTGGTTTTGGAAGTAAACTGTGAGTCACGGGGACTCAGCAATCTCACACCCTCGCGATCAAGACTATTTAAGCTTATGGGTAGGAAAAGGTAGTGAGGTGGAGCTGCAACAAGCACTAGCATATATGGTGGCTAACATACGCAAATGAGAGCGAGAAGAGGAGCAAAGCACGGTTGCAAACTAGAAGTGGTCAAGAAGTGATCCTGAAACTACTTACGTTCAAGCATAACTCCAACACCGTGTTCACTTCCCGGACTCCGCCGGAAAGAGACCATCACGGCTACACACGCGGTTGATGCATTTTTAATTAAGTTAAGTGTCGAGTTCTCTACAACTGGACATTAACAAATTCCCATTTGTCCATAACCGCGGGCACGGCTTTCGAAAGTTCAAAACCCTGCGGGGGTGTCCCAACTTAGCCCATCACAAGCTCTCACGGTCAACGAAGGATATTCCTTCTTCCAGGAAGACCCGATCAGACTCGGAATCCCGGTTACAAGACATTTCGACAATGGTAAAACAAGACCAGCAAGACCGCCCGATGTGCCGACATCCTGATAGGAGCTGCACATATCTCGTTCTCAGGGTAACACCGGATGAACACTACGTACAGCTAAAACCAGCCCTCAAGTTTCCTCGAGGTGGCGCCGCAAGTGGCTCTGTTTCGGACCAACACTTCGAGAAGGACTGGCCCGGGGGGTTAAAATAAAGATGACCCTTGAGTCTGCAGAACCCAAGGGAAGGTGATAGGTTGTTAGTGCAAATGGTAAAACCAAGGTTGGGCCTTGCTGGAGGAGTTTTATTCAAGGCAAACTGTCAAGGGGTTCCCATTATAACCCAACCGCGTAAGGAACGCAAAACCAAGGAACATAACACCGGTATGACGGAAACTAGGGCGGCAAGAGTGGAACAAAACACCAGGCATAAGGCCGAGCCTTCCACCCTTTACCAAGTATATAGATGCGTTAATTAAATAAGAGATATTGTGATATCCTAACATGTAAATCATGTTCCAACAAGGAACAAACTCCAATCTTCACCTGCAACTAACAACGCTATAAGAGGGGCTGAGCAAAGCGGTAACATAGCCAAACAACGGTTTGCTAGGACAAGGTGGGTTAGAGGCTTGACATGGCAATATGGGAGGCATGATATAGCAAGTGGTAGGTATCGTAGCATAGGCATAGCAATAGAGCGAGCAACTAGCAAGCAAAGATAGAAGTGATTTAGAGGGTATGGTCATCTTGCCTGAGATCCCGCAAGGAAGAAGAACAAGTCCACGAAGAAGAAAAACGGACGTAGTCGAACAGATCCTCACAAACGCGACGTTATCAGAACCAACCCGAAGAAGCAACACCGGAAAGAAGCAAACAATCATGGTAAACAACCACCACACGAACATGGCACGATGCACAATCAAGTATGATGCATGTCCGGTTTAATGAAGCATGGCATGGCAAAAGTGCACAAACAACTCTACAAGTTAAGTGGAGCTCAATATGCAACGAGTTGCATATTGATGAAACACCACGTCAATTATTTAGTTCTCTCCCGTTTAGGTACCCAACAATATTAAATGTTGTTAAACATGGCAAGAGATGAAGCAAAAGTAAACTACACAATCTAAGCAATTTAAATGGGGCCGAAAAACAACAACAACAACAGTTCCGGTAAAACCCCATATGCATTTAGCAAATTGGTGCAACAACAAAGTTAAACATTTAAATGTTATTATCATGATGTGGAGGACATGTTCAAGATTATGCAATTTTAATGAAAATGTTGATAAGAGCATTATGAAGCATTTTGTCATCGTGGCGGAAACGAAAGGGAGGTGCCACAACAACGATAATAGTAACGGTGCCACGGCAATGTTCCGGTTCCGGTACTCGATTAAGATACCGATGCAAAGGGGAAGTGTGCGGATGCGTGCAAAAGATGGTGGGGCGCTCCCGGATACCGGGTTCCCACGGTTCGACGGCAGTGTCAATGAGGGAACAACTAACGTTCACGGGCAGATACAACATCCAAACATGCATCTCATACAACACGTCACATGCATACGGTCCACAGCATCGTTCCGGCGGATATACCTTTCAAGGGTGCATTTTTGTAGCGAGTCGAGTTCGGTGCAATGAAGGGGAAGTAGACATTCTTGGGACGGTCCTAGAGGAAGTAGTTGCACTTGCAAACTTGTCGGATCCACGACGACGGTAGTTGTTCACGTTCATAGTCGCACAAGTTCCCGTAGATGTTCGGGGTCACGATGAGGTACTCGGCGTTACGGTGCGGTGTAGGGGTACATGTCGATGGTCGTCGTGGTACTTGGTGTTTCGTCGCACCCAAGCGACGGTAGTCGTACCCGACGCAATGTGGACGTAGTTGTACTCGCGGCCTTCGGTAATGGAACTTGGGCATAGTGGTACACGTTCTCGGGGTACTCGTCCCATCACCGGGTGTAGTCGTTCACGTTCGGAGGGGAACTTGGCGTTCCTAGTGATTTCGAAGATGGCGGTGGATGTACTTGGTGAATCCACAAGGCGTGCACGGGTCGTAGTGGAACTCTGACAAAATCCACGAGGCAGTCTTGGCATGCAACGAGCATGGCATGATGGGCATGGAGGGTGGCGCTGGTCCTCTGCTCCAGCGAAGCAGAACGACGGCGCGAGCGGGCGACCGACCTGGTGTCTTAGAGCAGTGGGGGAAGGCAGTGGTGAGCGGCCGGATCGAAGGCAGAGGAGGTCACATGAAGCTGGTCCGACGGGATCCAGGCGAAGGAGGGCCGTCCTGGGCGCAGGTCGCCAGATCGGGAGGTGGTGGCGCCGCGGGGAAGATGGAAGGCCGAGAAGGTGGACGCCGGCAGCAACTAGCCCACAGCAGGAGGTGGGGTCAGAGACGTCGCGCTCCGGGTTGGCCCACAATGAAGGGGAAGTAGACGTTCTCGGGACGGTCGTAGAGGAAGTTGTTGCACTTGCAAACTTGTCGAATCCACGACGACGGTAGTTGTTCACGTTTATAGTCGCACAAGTTCCCGTAGATGTTCGAGGTCACGGCGAGGTACTCGGCGTTACGGTGCGGTGTAGGGGTACATGTCGATGGTCGTCGTGGTACTTGGTGTTTCGTCGCACCCAAGCGATGGTAGTCGTACCCGACGCAATGTGGACGTAGTTGTACTCGTGGCCTTCAATAATGGAACTTGGGCATAATGGTACACGTTGTCGGGGTACTCGTCCCATCACCGGGTGTAGTCGTTCACGTTTGGAGGGGAACTTGGCGTTCTTGGTGATTCCGAAAACGGCGGTAGATGTACTTGGTGAATCCACAAGGCGTTCACGGGTCGTAGTGGAACTCTGACAAAATCCACGGGGCGGTATGGCATGCAACGAGCACGGCATGATGGGCATGGAGGGCGGCGCTGGTCGTCTGCTCCAGCGAAGCAGAACGACGGCGCAAGCGGGCGACCGACCTGGTGTCTTAGAGCAGTGGGGGAAGGCAGTGGTGAGCGGCCGGATCGAAGGCAGAGGAGGTCACGGGAAGCTGGTCCGGCGGGATCCGGGCAAAGGAGGGCCGTCCTGGGCGCAGGTCGCCAGATCGGAGGCGATGGCGCCGCGGGGAAGATGGAAGGCCGAGGAGGTGGACGCCGGCAGCAACTGGCCCACAGCAGGAGGTGGGGTCGGAGACGTCGCGCTCCGGGTCGCCGATGTCCGGCAGGGCCGCGGCGGTGGCCTCCGGCGAGGGAGCCAAATGGAGGCGGGGCGAGACGCAGGTGGGACTCGCACAAAGGCAGCCATGGCATCGAGTGCGAGGAAGAAGCCCAGGGCGCGGGGCTTCGAGGCGAGGAGGAGGCCATGGCAGGAGGCACGGCAGCGCTCTCCGGCATCTCGAGGCGAAGGTGAACGACGGCGAGGAGGCCGACAGGCTCTGGCCTGGTTCCCTGGACCGAAGGAGGAGGGAGGGTGAGGGGCGCTGGAGGGAGAGATGGGGGTCGGCAAGAGAGAGAGAGAGAGAGAGAGAGAGAGAGAGGGAAGGAGGAGGTCGAGCGAGATGGGATCGGGCAGCGCTCTCCCTGGCGGCGCTGGGTGGAAGGGTACGAGGGAAGAGGGGATCGGGCCAGGGGTGCTAGGGTTAGTGGGGGAGGTGGCCTTGGGGCCGGCCCAGTAGAGAGGAGGGGGTCAGCTGGGCCTTAAGGCAAAAGGGCAGGCCTGGCAGGCCTAAGAGGTTGGGCTCTTCTCTCCCTCTATTTGCTCTATTCAAAAACAACAGAAAAAGAGGAAGAAAAGGGAAGAAAAGAAAAAGGTAGAGAAAGAGTTTGGGCACGGGAATAAATTTCCCGGACTCGCAAAAATGCGCATGTTCCAAGAAAAATAGAGTGGGCATTTTTGAAAGTGTAAATTCAAACTCATTTGATTTAAATTCAAATGGTTCGAATAGGAAGTGAGGGTTAGGAAGGTCCAAAAATGTTCAGATTTTTGGTGGAGCTCCGGAAAATGATGAAAGAATATGAGCAAAGTTTGGGGACCAAACTTGAAGCGAGAAAAGGCATGTGATTATTTGCAAGTGTGTTCATGGGTGATTCCGAAAATGGAATATTTAATATAGCTCCCTAATATCGGGAGGATATGTTATAAAAAGAATCATCATGTGAATTCCCTCGATTTAAATGGATCAAAGATCCATGCCATTTATTTAGTTGAGTTAAGAAAGGAAATGACATGATGGCAGGATGACATGATGCAAAGCACATGATGCAAAGATGAATGCAACAAGCAGAAACAAATCACACAACGAATCTCGAAATCCCTGAAAGGCATCTGAAGCTCCGGTCTTGGGGCGTCACAACACTCCACCACTACGATAGGATCTCGTCCCGAGATCTAGGATGGCACCGGAGAAAAACGGAAGAGGAAAAGAAGAGGTAAAACTAAGTTGCTTCTTTGACAAACAAGTGAAACCGAAGAACCTTGAGAGGTTAAACCATTTTGAGAAAAGAAAACAATGGAGATGATCAAAGTTGAAAACACTCCGTTAGAAAAAAGGAACAAGGAACATTACTAGAACCTTGTAGGTTGAAAGACATAAGAAAAGGGTTGGAATGGACAAGAAGTACATGCAAGCACTCCGGTTGAAACAAGATGGAGAAGGAATAAGAATGATATAATTTGGATAGCACTCCGACTGTAAATGGAAGGAATTGAACATGATCTTGACAAGATGAGAGGATACTTGAAAAGAGGACACGACACTCCGGTTAAAAGGATAAGCACGAAAAGAACATGGTCCTGACAATCCGAGATGATGAGTGAAGAGAGCATGTATCTCAATGCCTCCGGAAGAGATAAAAGAATGGAATTAAAGGAACGGAGAAGAAAACAACATCTTTTACCTGAAATGAACTTTGAAAAAAAGCATCTTTAGGAGAAGGGTTGAATTCCCAATGGAAGGCTTTAGGTGAAATATTGCACAAGATAATCTCAGCGAAGAGATTCAAGATACCTCATCCGTGACAACTTGTCAATCATGAAACATGAAGGAAACTGTCAAAATGACATAACACCACCTCAAAAGGTAAGATAGAAAGAATTGCACTTCGTAATGCAAGACCAAGAATACTTGAAGTATAGCTTGGCGGATCATAGCTTCGAGAGATATCTTGAAGAACAAATGAAGAATGAAAAGAATCCTTGCCGAACCACCATGTAGCCTTCATGAAGAACTCCGGTAATAAAAGAATAATGAAAGAAAGATAAGTCGAAAGCACAAGGTGAAGCCTTGCAATGATTTAGATGGAGCTTGCGACGAGATAAAGTGGAAGCTTGGAACTCCGGAAGAAAAAATAAAGCAACTCGAACCGAGAATGTGATATGATGAACCACTCTGGAAAGCAGGAATTAAACGCTTGGATGAAACAAGAATAAGAATTACATTATGCTTATCCTTCATCAATTTAAATTGAGGACAAGCAATGGATTTGGCATACTACTTATTCCGATAGAAAGGACTAAGAGAGATATAAATCAAACTTGAATAAGGTCTTGATGGAAACCACCGGTAGGATTGGAAAGAACGAATGAATCTGTATGACAACGAAGGAAGAGAACTCTTGAACGAACCACCGTAAGAATTGAAAATGAATGAAGAAAAGATAAGGAAAAACACCGGTAAGAATTAGAAAACAAAAGAATGAAGATACTTGAGAATTTAGATACAAGTGAAACGAAGAGATCATGAGCTGATTAGAGGATATACTTGAACGATGCACCGGTAAGATTTAGAGAACGAGAGCTGAAAACTAGGAATGAATAATTCTGATATGATGGCCTCCGGAGAATCAAACTGAAAAGACTCCTGAATTGCTCCGGATGGTTGAAAAGAATTCTCATAATCAAAATAATTATGAGAGTATGGCAACAAGCTAGAACCACGAATCTCTGAGAGAACGGATAAGATATGGAGGAAAAACTCTTCTTCGGTCTTCAAATGTTGAGAATGACGACGAGAAACACCACCCTTGAATTATTTAGACACTCTGGAAGAATCAAAAGCGAAGAGGTTGAGTCAACGATGAAAAGAATTTGAAAGATCTTGGAGAAACCATCTGACTGATGATGAATCATTCTTACGTCAAACTTCAAAAAGAATTTGGGAGTAACCCCGGGAAAAAATTAGAAGAGTCAGGTAAGATCCTGGGAAAAGACTTGTGGGTTAGGGCCCACTCAAAAGATACACCATTGAACAATTACTTGAAAATGAGAATGCACCAGTTGAATTAAATGACTTGAATGAGATAACAATCTCGAAATAGCTTGAATGGATTAAGAATGTAAAACAGGAATCTTCGAGATATCTTCAGCACTCCGAAACAATTTAATAGCGAGGAGTGGATGATTAAGAGGTGCACTGGTATGGGAAAAATATTTGAAATGAGGAAAAGGGATATGATCGACAAAGCTTGAATTGAATCCACCGGAGAAGAAAACGAGTGAAGAGTGACGAACTTGAAGCTCCGTTAGTATCTTCTTGAGAATCACCGGATAATAACATTGACGGAAAAGGATGGAGAGACTTCCCATCAATAAAAGGATACTTGATTAAGAACTCCGAGTCCTTGAAGAAAAAGGGTGGGAGGGCGGGAAAACAAAGACAATTTGGGATGGATGAAATAAACAACGTTGGGAAAACCGAGAGGTAATCTTGGGGATGTTGAAATGATCGAATCCACTTGAAGAGAAAAACACGCCGGTTGAAAAGGATTGACAAAACAACCTCGATGAACATGAAGGGTTAGTATTCACATAGAAATATGAGAACACCATTTGGGGAAGGTATGGAATCAACACTTGACATTGAAGCAACTCGAATACCACAACTCAAAAAACAAAGGATTGGCTTGCAGAATAAGTCGGAACAAACATATGATAGAGATTTCGTCCGAAGTTTTCATGGTGGGGCCCACACGGGGTCAATCGTACAGCACCATCATGTACAAGGCAGTGCACATGACATACGAAGCATCCCCGAGTCAGCATAGCCAAGGACTCTTTAAGACACAACGAGACCACTGTAAAACCAACCGTGGATAGGCGGACCACTAGACATTGAACCCCAATTTCATATCATACATCTGTCGGAAAGATATCCTAGGAGCTACTTGAATTCCCACTTATAAACTCCCGAAACTTTCCAGTTATGCAATCAGGTGTTGGGGATACAGGGGAATCATAATATCTCACCCAAAACTAGCAAATCCTACATCCAGCTGTATCCATCCTTCAACACATAACCAAGAAACCTTCGGAAATCATTTACCTCAACCTTCGAAAAGCATCCGTTATACGAGTTATGGCAATACTCCGAAACTCCCGCCCCAGTACTGGGTGGCGTCGAGGTTATCTCACCAACAACTGCATAAAGGAGATTTTCGATGTCGGCGAACTCGGGTATTCCAGAACTGCAACGATAAAATTGTGACGACAACACCTCGGAGCTCAACTCTCCGGGACACTGCCACAACCCCTAAATGTCAGGACGCACCAAGAACAATGTTCTCGTCACAAAACCATCGAAACGATTCCAAGATACCCACGTGATCCTAAAAAAATTCGTGAAATTTGAGAAGAGAAGAGTCAAAACTCTACGTCAGGATGCCTCACCAGAGCGACGAAGGGACCGAGGAGTAAAAATAATCCTACTCTCCGATATATATAATCCTAAAAGACTCAAAACATTTTTCTAGCCTCAACAACGCCAACAATTCGATCAAGCAGCGGGCTCCTAAGTCGGGGAAGGCTCTGATTACCAACTTGTAACACCCACGATGTGGCTATATCTCCCACGTGTCGGAGCATGACTTAGAGGCATAACCACATTATAGTCATGTCGCAAGAGGGGTAATCTTTACACATCTGATGTACTGAATAAGAAAGAGGTACGGAGTTGGCTTACAATCGCCACTTCACACAATACATGAATATCACATTACATCAACCAGATACAAACAAGGTCCGACTACGGAACCGAAATAAAAGAAGACTACCCCTAAAGCAAAAGATCCCTGATCGCCCCAACTGGACACCGCTACTGATCAACTGGAAACGAAACAACTCAACGCACACGATCTTCATCAAGCTCCTCCTTGAGCTCGGTTGCGTCACCTGCATGGTATCATCGGCACCTACAAACTGGTTTTGGAAGTAAACTGTGAGTCACGGGGACTCAGCAATCTCACACCCTCGCGATCAAGACTATTTAAGCTTATGGGTAGGAAAAGGTAGTGAGGTGGAGCTGTAGCAAGCACTAGCATATATGGTGGTTAACATACGCAAATGAGAGCGAGAAGAGGAGCAAAGCATGGTCGCAAACTAGAAGTGATTAAGAAGTGATCCTGAAACTACTTACGTTCAAGCATAACTCCAACACCATGTTCACTTCTCGGACTCCGCCGGAAAGAGACCATCATGGCT